CTCACTCACAACTCTCTCAAGCCTCGTTCACTCCGCCAGCGTCTGGCAGCGATCATTTTCATAACAGGGACGCTAAACATTCTTGCAAACTGTCTAAACTGAATTATACATGTCGTGCAGGCATTCATATGAGGAGTTTAACAGCAAATTAGTCATTCAAAGAAGAAATTTTATTTTTGAACGTGAAAAATGTACCGAGGTCCGGACCTTTGGGCCTGCATACGGTCGCCGTGATTTTGCCAAGTAAGACATGTTCCTGGATCCAACATCTTTTGTTGATCCTGGATCAACATTACCGTCCAAAAATACAGACTTAACCCAATCCCTACCCCTAAACCTACCCATAATTTATTCCTAAAAACAGTGTGAAAGGATAGCTGATTAACAAGGGTGTAGATGCACCTAACCCTGATTGTAAGCCTAAAACAGATATTTCCTGAAAAGTTATCCCTCAATTCTGATTGGTTGATAGGAATGTTGTTCCAGGATCAACAAGGATGTTGATCCAGGAACATGTTGTACTTGGTGAAATCACGCTCACCGCCTGCATACATTGTAAAACCACTGACTTGTCCTGAATTAAATTACATAGATGAGCCATATTTACAAGTCAAACGTTAACTGAACTACAGTACACTCAACCTCCAAATGGTAGAATATATCATCAGGACTTAGTAACTGATAGCATTAACAAGAATGAACATTGTCTGACATTCAGTTACAGAGCAATTTGCACTATATATTGTTACTTAAGACTACATTGCAAATGTATGTTGAGAAATGGGCTTCAGTGCGCTTTGTCATTGCCTGCAAAAAAAATAAATAAATAATGCATTGTGCACACACAAACCCTCAGTGCTGAAATAGTTCACTACTGCACTGTCAAACACACACACACACACACACACACACACACACAAAAAAAATAGTAAATAGCCAGATGATTGTTTTAAAAATTGTATTCTCAACTTCCACAGGACCACACAGCTATTCAGTTAAATATGGCCATAGCTATATTCCGTAACACTGATAGGCCCAACAGAGGCTCTCTCCCAACATAGATCTGAAGAACAAACAAATTGTGAGAAAGCATCTTACATAATAATAATAATAATAATAATAATAATTGGGGTCTTAGTTTATACCTGTAAGAAGCTGATCACGTCCACTCCTGATGCTACAGGTTGTGTCGCAGCAGCCACACACCTGGTCAGAGTCATCTGCAGAAACCCACCTGCCAAACAAACAATAATTACTTGCACAGCCTCATTTACACTAACATCTTGAGTCTTGGTTAACATGCCCATTAGCAGAGAACGAACAAGCTTTCTGCTCAGGACTTGTTGGGGTGGATTCTGCAGCCACCTTCACAATGCATGTGATGTAGACCTGCAAAGACAGTTGTTAGCACACTATGGCAGCATATCCAGTGGCGTAATTTTGTTTTAAAAAGTGGGTGGGACAGGAGTGTGTGTGTCAAGGCAGTCACCACAACTGGTGAATTTAACAGTATTTGGATATCTAACAATCCTGACATTTAGTCCTTACCTTGGATAGTGACACTCAATACTAACCACTGCTCCTGACAATAGCACCACCATATGAAGCCTCTTGTGGAGTGTAGATGGAGAACATATAGACAAGCTCATTTTCAGTCACCTAAAGGGTTAGCAGTGTAAGTGTTGCTCACAGAAACCTACACACACACAAAAAACCACCATAACATCATTATTAGTGTGCTGCCACATGCATGCAGTTCTAACTCAAAGATAAGCACTTGAGCAGAAGGATCCTCTCCAGTTGTAGTACAGCCTCCCAGTGTAAAAACAGAGGGCATTAGTAGTTGTCCAGTGCCAAAGAAGTCTTTCAACACTTCCACATATATTGAATTCTCCCTGCATTGAGCCACTATACTGTTGGCAGTGACAGGATAGCGCAAAGCAAAAGGAACATCTGGCTGTTGTGGTTCTTCTGGAAGTTTCATTTACTTAATTTATTGGTTTGAAAAAAAAAAATATATACACTTATATTTTAATACTTATACATTATATATCAGGAGAATCAAACGCAGTTCCTGGAGGGCCAAGCTCTGCAGAATTTAGTTCCAACCCTGCGCCAACACACAAACCATGTGGTTTTCAAATAAGCCTGAAAGACCTAAATTAGCTGGATCAGGTGCGTTTAAACATGTTTGAAGCTAAACTCTGGTCCTCCAGGAACTTTGACACCCCCGTTATTATATAAACGTATATTATTTTTACATTTATTTCTGGATAGAATAATATGGGTAGAAGGGTTTTAGTATGAATTGGGAATTTGTATCGGCTGCTTTCAAATTAAAGGACTGCAGAGATTCAATTTGTCTGGATTTATCAAGTAGACCACCTCGGGGAAAAAAAAAAAAAAGGAAAAAAAAAAAAACCCCACACACGACTCTTAGTGCACAGTGTTAACCTGTAAGCACAACTTTAAATTGACTGAAAGCCCCGTTTTCAACACTCAAAAGGTACATAAATTCAGCCAATCCAGTTAGGGCTTGCCAGCTTGATCTTACGTAGTAGCCTTGCAAATGTATCCAGTGACTTGTCTGCAAGTATCAGGACCTTGCATTTGATGCAACTAGTAAAAGCAAGACATGAGGCAATACATGCATTTCTAGATGCTACATTATGCAGCAGTGAAGAATTAAATGGAAAACCAGTTGCCACCATACACGGATGCAATGCTCACTTATTTTCATTGCATTCCAGATGGGGTCTTATCCAGTATGCAACAAAGGATGTGGTTGCCACTGAAACACCCTTAAGGTATCAAAATGGTCCAACCCCAGCGTTTGCACTGAAGTAAGGCTTCTAGCACCATTTAGTCACTGTATGAGGTCAGCTTTAGACATTTGTCCCCCAAATTGCCAGGTTATAGGAATTGTGGGTAGGTTACAGGGAGTTCGTGGTGCATACTGGAGAGCAACAAAGCCACAGAACGGGATACAAACAAAACTCAAAAGATCAACCTATTAAGACTAAATGCTTTTTTAATTTACAGAAGTCACATGGCATTTCCAGTTATTTTTGGCCATATTCCTTAACCTTAATGGGTCCAACAGATGCTCGATCCCACCGCAGATCTGAGAAACAAACAAGCAGTGAGAAAAGCAGTGCATGGAGAGAAGAGAATTTAAAAAAAAAAAAAAAAAGAGCTGTGCACCACTTACCCATTGTTCTCGATAAAGGAGTATCTGGGGACAGACGCAACATCAGGGACTGTTGTAGCCACACAGCTGTCCACAAATACACGGATGGGAACATGGCTGTATGACTGCACAGACGCCTCAAAGTTCATGATATCACCCAGGAAGTACTGGTTAGAAGGTCTCTCGAATCGCCAGTCATCTGCAAAGATGCCTTTTAGCACAAGTTCACAAGCACTGGCGTGTTATGAAACAGTTTGTTATACCAACCAGTCATGAGCCTGAGGGAGAAAACAAAGATCTCCTCTGCAACTTCAGAAGAGGCATGTGGGATCCAAGTGGGCATTAAGGCATCGCTACTCACATTATGCTTTCTACAGAGGAGTTAGATAGACAATCATTATATGGGAGTTTAGTACATCCAGTAACCTTGAATTCTGCCCTCACCTTGAATAGTGACACTCGATACCAACCACCGCACTACTGCTCCTAACAATAGGAACACCATATGAAACCTCTTGTGGGGCATACACAAGTTTGAACATATAGACAAGCTCATCTTCAGTCACCTAAAGGGAATAGAAGCATGTTGGTTACAGAATCCATTCAGAATCATAAATGGTTATGAAACGAAAAAGGTGAAACCTCACCTTTAGTGTACTACCACATCCATGCAATTCCGACTCAAAGATGAGCACTTGAGCAGAAGTGTCTTCTCCAGCTGCAGTACAGCCTCCCAGTGTGAAAGCAGATGACCTCAGTGGCTTCCCATTCCCAAAGAAGTCTTGCATCACCTCCACATATACGGAGTTTTCAGCACACCGAGCCGCTACACTGTTGGCAGGGACAGGATAGCGCAAATCAAAAGGAACATCTGGCTGCTGTGGTTCTTCTGGTAGGCTTGGAAAACTCCATGTCAGTTTTTGCACTGGACCCAGCAACAGCTCTTTTGACTGAACACCCAAAAGATCTTGAGAAAGCTTTCCAAATTCACTCCTGGCTGGTGTCTGGACAGGAAATGGAGCAGGAAACCTTTGGGGTGCAAATACAAGGTTACTAGGGTCATATTTCTGTGGAATTGGAGGCATCCTGGAGTCAGTCTGCTGAACTCGCGACACCCCAGGCATAAAATTGTTCGGGGTCCAATTACTACTTCTTTTGGCTCTCCAAAGCGCTTCAGAGAATCCCAGTGCCAGAAGAAACACCAATCCAAATCCAACTTGCCAGAACCCCATTGTTGATAAGCTTGTGATTCAATTATGCATTATTACTCTACCATCCAAATTTATACAGCTGAAAATCAGCATGGCTCCACCTCTGCCATGACAAGCATTATTTTTCTCTGGACCTGCCTATTTACTCAATCGATATGTCACAGGTGAAAGTCATTGATTGCTTATTACTCGGAATAAATGACGCCCCATATAAGGATATGTTTAAATATCCAAATGACACCAATTCTCTAAAACACAATCTCTAAGCCTTTTTGTGTCCTCCTATTTTTTTTTATTAATTCATAAACATGACCACAGACAGAATCGTACACTACAGTATCCAAAATAATAAAGATTTCTACAGTCAGGTTTAGATTGTTACACAATGTGCCTCACATCAGCGCATCAATCTTCACAAGAGACGTGAATGGAGCAAATGCAAGATCATAACAGTACATAGATTGTATTGTAGATTCACTGATATGTTTTCTCCCCATTCCAATTGTGTTATTATGACTAGGTTGATCAGTGTGTGTGGATTTATGGACTTCATTCTTTCAACTATACTATATGCTGGGCAGCACAGAAAGACAATCTGAACAGACGACTAAAAAACATTTAAATTCAAAATATTAACAGGTATGAGCAAAAGATAAGCTCATAAATGGACATTAAGAACTTTAAAAAATGGTGGTATTTGAAACATGACAGCACACATTAAATCACTGGAAAATCTTAAAGTCTTAAAGAAAATATTTAGTTCACAAATAGTTTTAACTATTAACAAAGAGATTCTGAAATATATATATATTTTGTTATTATTTTTTCTGTTACACAGCCAGATTCAACATTTCTACACGATAACACTGCAACCAGAGTTTTTGAAAATCTTCACCCTGGCAGGCGTTTTCAAAAATGTTTGGTTTCAGTGACCTGGTGCTGCGTTTGCATGTGGACGAATAGCCTAACCGAGTAGAAAAAGCTGCGGTTTTAAAAATAACTCTGTTCGTGTGGACAGGGCCTTAAGGCTCAAGGTGCATTTTACTCATCTTGCCAATTCACAGTTATAAAGGGCTGAAACAGCCTGTATTGGATGCATTTATTTCCGGTAAATGACAAGGATGATGGGGTAACTGAGTCTCCTATACCACCACTACTACTGCGCTCCTGTTTGAATAAATGTAATAAATAATAATAATAATCATAATAATAATAAAAGCATTAGCAATGAATCAGCTGTGGTTTCTCTCTGTAATTACAAAAAATAGTTGGCGATAAAATAAAAGGGGGGAAAAACAGAACAGAAAATTTATAATAAATTGTTTTAAAGGGGTCATATGATGCGATTTCAATTTTTCCTTTCTCTTTGGAGTGTTACAAGCTCTTGGTGCATAACAAAATAATGTTCTTTTTAGCAGCATCATATGACCCCTTTAAATAAATCAAGCAAGCAAGCGTAATGCCAAACTAACAGTGGATTCAGATCCAAGGCCAGGGGCCCAATTCAGAAAGGACGTTAAGTGAAATCTCTGAGTATGTTAACCCTGATATTAGGGAAACTCTGGGTTTTCCGTTTCAGAATGGGAGGTTTGTCAAACCCGAGAAAGCAGGGTAAGTCAAGCTCGTTTCTGAAAGAGAGGTAACTTATACTCAGGGTCAGTTACCGTGGTAGCTTACTCTATGAACCTAACCTGGTCAGGAGCAGGTTTTCTTCGGTAAACCCAGCTTTTCTTACAGTCTCCTCCCCCTTTTTAAAGCACAAGCGATGTTTAAATATTTCATTCATTCATTCACGCTGCAAAAATGCTTTTCTTACTAAGTATTTCTGTCTTATTTCAAGTACAAATATCTAAAAATTCTTAAATCACGATGCATTTTCTATATAAGAAAAATTATATAACCTAAGATGTTTATTCTTGTTTCTTGGGTGGAAACAAGTGCATTTTACTTAAAACAAGTAAAATTATCCGGCATGGGGTAAGAAAAATCATCTTAATGCAAACGTAAACAAGATTATTTTTTGTTTCCCCCACCTCCCCCATCAAACACCACACCAGACACCGTCAAAGTGACAAAAATGGCATGTCCTTTTATACTGTAGATGAGGAGGCTATATTAATTCGTAGGGAGTTAAATTTTTTGTGCCATATCAACATGCATATTTATTTGGTAGTTTTCTATATCGGGGATGCAGAGCACATTAGTAAGGCCGCTGCATGCAGAGCGGTAATGAAGGTGTGCTTGCTGACGTTCACTTCATAACATCTTGCCGCGACCTCTGGAAGTAAGCCAATAATTAGAATTTCCTTTAGAATTTCCAGTGTGGTTGAATGCATTGATGACACGCATATTCCCATCATCACACCTTCCGAAAATGAAACCGATAGGCCTATGGAATGGAATTAAGGATGCCATACGGAAGTGTAGTCCGAGATATATGCTGTAACCACCACCACAACTGTTACATAAACACAAATGATGTACAATTTATTTGGTCATCTTTATTTCCTACAAATACAAAAGCCAGAGTTATTCTTTTTTTTACTGTTGGATTTTAGTATTCTTCCAATACTTGGTATTATGGCATTTCCTCTTCATCTGTTCTTCATTATTTTGCGAGCATTCTTGCTGTTGACTGAGTAAAAGTCAAATGTTAATTTCATTACTCTAATTAAGAAATGTAACAGGTTGGATTAGAGAATCTTTAATTATGTGAAAAGATTAGAGTACGTGGGGAAAAAAAGCAGCTGCACATTGAAAGTTTAAAATTGATTTACCGGTAATATATCAAATGTTTGTAAATTCATGTAGCCTACACCCATGAACATTGATTTAATTGTTTTTATACTTCATTTTTAGCTGCGGTCACGTTCTTCTTTTTTTTTTTTGCCCATGGTATACCATGAAAATTAATATTAGTTCAATAACCTACCGTTCTGCCAGTTTTCACCTCTGTTATTATAACAGTGATTAAGAATTAAACTTATGCGTTGACTCAAAGTATGCGGACGTCTTTTTGTCAGTGCTGTTGCCATGGTGAATCATAATTTCATTGAAACAGGGCCCTGGGGGGTATTCCAAAAAGCAGGTTATGTAACTGTAGCGTATGGACCAATCAGACTCACCGTTTTTCATTAGACTTAGAGTGTGCGTACGCTAAAATTCACGGCAACGTTCACATTTATAAAATCGGTCTTTGATGTGGAAAAGTACATACCGCCACATCAGGGTCTGAGCAGACGTACAAACTTTTCCTTGTGGCAAAGTCAGAGTACTGCAGCTATTTGAACATCTAAGCTGCAATTGTAGCCTATAAGAATAGGCCTTTGTCGTGCAATAACGGTTTTAATATATTCTATTCAATAACGTTGTTAAATGTTTTTATTTGTAACATCTGCTGCTTTGCTTCTGTGAAAATGAATAGAGACATCAGCCTTAAACTTTGTTTTTGCCATTTACATCAGTTATATTTGTAAAATACACTATATATTTTTGTGTCAGTACATTAATGACACACAAATTTTTCTTTCAATAATGTTTTTTTAAAGTTTTGCAAGAATTTC